ATTGCTCAGTTTGTTTTACTGCATAATGTTTTATTGTATATCCAGAGGTTGGGTGTTATTAGCTTGTTGTTTGGTATTATGTATTTTTGTGTTATCTATTCTCTCAATACCTTGTACCATTTAGGTTCTTTGCCCCTGGGTATTTGATTTATCATATGTGGTAGATATTTCTATTCTATCGCCTCGGAATTGTTGTAAGATGTGCACTGTTCTATGTACTTTACGTTTAACTTATTTAGCTTGGTCTTTAAACTGTTTGGTTTTGTGAAGTTTTTGAGCAGCATATTGATTGATGTTTCTTCTTCGTTCAATGGTTTCGGCTATTTATTGTTGTAGTTGTTGTGAAACGTTATATATATTTGTTGTTGATGCTGTAGCATTTTTGCCGTGAAAGTATTATATTCACTTTGTGGTAGAGTATAGTCATGGTGCTCGAGAATTGATTTGTTGGTCATTGCTGCATTTTGTATTTGTTGTAACCAGACCTTTAATGTCGACTGATCAAAGTTTCTATGATTAAGTTGTCTGTGGATTATTGCGATGTGTTGTTGTACTTGAGTATTGGATATGGTTCTGAGACCATAAATTTAGTGATGATAGAGTGTTGAGTTTGGGATAGTTTGTGCCATCCTAGCCTTGTGCTTTATTATTGTTGTGTATTGGCTAGTAATTTTATCACATAGTGCTGTGGGTAGCACGATGTTTTGAACTCGATAAGCTAATCTTGTTAGGATAACTGTATTCACTATATATATCGTTTGCTTATCAGTTATCTTTGCCCGTTCTATTCTTCTAATTGCATTTGTTGCTTCTTCTTGAATAATTTTGATAGTTGGTTTTTGATTCTTTGTAATTGTGTATCAACATTCCAGGATGCGGAAGCTCTCCTTTGGGTTCTGTGCTTTGATTACTGAGTTGTTAAAGATAATGCTTGGCTGTTGGAGTTGTGTATTAGTTACTGCTAAAACTGATTTTTGAGGATTAACTCTTATATTTGTTAGTGCGAAGAAAGATGAAGCTATGTTGATTATTTCTCGTAGTTCTTCTTGTGACTAGGCCAACCAGACAGTATCATCCATATATGCGATTGCAGGCCGGTTTATTGTTAGTTGCTTTTCACTATTATTTTCTCTATAAGTAACATGCATTGTATACCCAGTTAATTTCTTATATATAGTTGTTAGTAGCAGATCATAATAAATGCGCCATAATAATAGTGCAATTGTTTCTCCTTGATCTATCCTGTCGTATACTAGGTAGGTATCAGTATTGCCTAGATTTGTAATAACAGAATTGTATCGATTAGTAAATATATTTGTTATGAGGGAGGCTATCTTATCTGGGACTTTTATTCTTGCTAATGCTTTTTTTAGTAAGGGGATATGAATAGAATTGTAAGCTTTAGACATATCCTAGCTGAGTAGCCATAGCTCTTTTTTGTGTACATGGGCATCTTCAATTATATATGTGATTGTTGAGATAGGTAATTCAGTGAAAGTGTTGGGTAGAGCCACGTGGTTGCTTTCATGCAAGACAGGGTATCTATTTAGTTTTTAGTTTAGTCATTTTGTCAAAATTTTGGTGAATATCTTCCTTGTGTGTTCAATTAAAGTAATAGCCTGAGTCTCATTTAGTTGCTCTGAGAATCGCTGCTTTTTAGATATCGGGTATATGTTTCCTTTTTTCCAAGATTTAGGAATAGTTTGTAGATTTATACAGCCATTAAAAATAGCCAGTATTTTATTTTTTTGCGTGTAGGTCTATGTGTTTTAGCATTTCGTTAGATATCGATTGAGGGCCTGTTGCTTTTTTCAGAGGGGCCTCCTTGATACCTTCTTCTAGTTCCTGCATTGTTATTAGATCTTCTATGCCTTGGTACCATGCTTCGTCTACTGTCTTTGCTGGGTGATAGGCTTCCTGCCAGTCTATCCACTTACTTTGATCTGTAGGGTTTTTCTTTGTCCATTTTTCAAAATGATTTTTTATTTCGTCTTTAATTTCTTTAGGTTCGGTAATAATATGGTCAGGATAGATAATATTGTTAAATATTACTGGGTCTGTGTGGCGTTGGAGGATGCTATTGATCATTTTTGTGGTATTGTTGGTGAAATTATTATATCTGTTTTCTATATGCTTATCAGTGTTTTGCTTATATGCAATGTTATTTTCTATTTTCCGAGCATTGTAAATTTCTTTTTGATGCTGTTTTAATGTTGTAGTATGTTGTAGTATTACTGTTTGTAAAGTATTTTCGGCTAGTTTTATCGAAATGTTTGATTGGCTGAGTTTGTTTATTGTTTGTAATTCGTCGTTAATTTTCTTAATTTGGTGTGTTTATATTAAGGATGCTTGTAGTTGCTTAATCACAGCGTTAATTTTTTGTAGGGCTTTATGTAATTTAGTCGCTTTTTGTGAGAAAGCATAAAAGTTTTGGGCACTATTTTTGTCCTTGGAATATTTGCGTCAGCAGCTTTTTTGATTGCCTGCTCAACTTTGTTCTAGTATTTATTGAGTTGTTCTTCAGTTTTAATCTCTATTGGTAGTGTACTTTCTTGCTGATTTAACAATGAATCTATACTAATAGCAAATTCATCCTATTTTTCTTTTGTCATTTCCTTATATAGGTATATGGTTCTTTTCCTCTTTTTTGTATGATACTGTTGAATGTGTATGTTTGGTTGCCATTCTACTGTTATTATTTTATAATCGCTATTCGTAATTAATTTAGCGTTGATTAATTTAGGCTTTGTGATGGTTGATATCAAATCTTGTGATATATATATATCATCTATCTGGCTGCTAAGCTGATTACGGGACCATGTTGCTGTTGGTATATCAAAGTATTGGAGTAGACTTGTGATTCCATTTTGTTTCATTATATTGAAAATGGGCATTGATTTATTATGTTTCTTTTTATTATAATTGAAGTCACCTATTACTATTAATTTGTAGTTGCGAGTTATTGCGTATTGAATCCAATTTACTATTTTTTGTTGTGTTTGTTTGTTGATATCCGTGTTGTTGGTTGGGAGGTAGACCGATATTACTCTTATTTTTTGATTTTGAGGAAAGAAGAAATCGATAAGTATTGCTGTTCCGGGTGTAGTCTGTATATTGTGTATGTATGGTTGTAATGTCTTTATTATTGCTAGGCCAGTTCCCATGCTAGATTCTTGTTTTTTTGCAACAGTTTCATTGCTATTTGCAGTATAGATATTGAAATAAGGATTGCTTAGGTACTGTCTGTGATTGCTAGATTCTGCTATTTTAGTTTCTGTTATACTAACTATGTGCAGGTTGTTGTTATAGCAGTATTCTAACCATGTTTGATATTTGAGCGTATCATTGAGTTCTTGTGTATTATGTGTTGCGATATATATACTTTTTACTAGGTTTTTGTTCATTGTTAATTGTTGGTTATGGAAGAATATCCCAGGTTGCCTCTGGTAGTGCTGGTAGATTGAAGATGTATTGTGGTACTGTAGTAAAAGAAAAAATTTCGTGTAAGCTTTTTAGTATAGTATATCTTTGTGCTTGGTAATAAGTATTTTAACTTGGTCTTGTGTTGAGTCGATTGATTCTAAATATTTCTGAGTTGCTTCTAATGTTTCAGGTATTGATATTTTTGTCTTTTCTTTACTTTTTAATGTTGGTGTAGCTGTATGATCTTTATTTTTCTGTATTTCAATCCATGAGTCTGGTATTCTGTTAAAGAAATTATAGGGCCACAAAAGTTTGGCTGTGTATACTAATTGTCTTGCTGAAGTAATTGGGGTAGTCAAATTGAAATCTTTAATTTGACAGAGGTCTTGTGGTAAATCTGGTTTTTCTGTAGGATTTACGATCATATAATGTGGTGGTAAGGGTATTGAGAAAGCATATCTTGTTGAAATTTGTTTAATAAAATCTTTTGCAATCTCAGGTTCTTTTATTGGGAATGAGAATTTTGTGTATGTTCTTATTTGTTTTGGGTTCTTTGGTAGTCTAGGTTTTGCTTTAAAGTAGTTATTCAGGATATATTTAAAATGATAGTACTCTCTTAGCATGTCACTGATTTCTTTTAATATTCTATTTGTTGTAGCCATATCTATCGGAAATAGTATTTTCAACTTGGGATTGAGTTCTTGTGGTGTACTGGGTAGGAGCTGCTTTTTTTCAGATAGATTGAAATAGTTATCCGATAACTTTCCCTTCTAAGTATAGTATTCAGCTAGACGCTGTTTGTAGTATTGTAAGTTTAGGAGGCTTTTGCGCTCTGTGATTGGAAAAAGGTCTTTTACTACTAGCTCTAATTTGTTTGGGTTATCTGGTAGGGGCTCTAGCTGTATGAAATATGCGTCAGGTAGTTGAGAGAAGATATATATTTGTCTTAGTGCTGCTAAGATTGCTCTTAGTCTATTCCAGTTTCTTATTGGTAATGAAAATGGAAGAGACTCCAGAATTTCTCGTGGGATTTCTTCAGGTGTCTTAGGTAATGGCAGTAGGGTGTTATTTATTGCCATGTCTATAATTTTCTTCATGTCATCTCTATTGAGCTCATTTTTTATATGCATGAACCCTAGACAGTATTTAACTAGTTTGCTAATCTCTTGTGGTTTTTTTGTGAGTTTGTAGTTAGTTAGGTATTGTATTGCTAGTTTTTGTCTAAGTTTTTGCTATATTTGATTTCTAATCTCTTTATTTGGCATTATGATATTGTGTTTATTTTTGTAATTTTCTATTGCTGTAGCTTGCAGTTGTTCGAATTCGATTTGATGCATAGGTTTGTATTTCATTTCTCTTATAAAGGTTCAGAAAAAGTTGAAATCAAGATATTTGAATTTAAGAGTAATTGCTGAAGGAAGCTCGTGTTGAGTGAGTAATGTTTGAAGTTAGTGTGTAATTAATTCGATCATTTGGTCTTTGTCCTGTAGCGCCTTTATAATTCTGTTGTAACTCCATTTTTCAGTATTGAATTGTGTATTTATTTGTTGTGTCATCTGTTGTTGTACTTGTTCTGCCTACTCCATCTCATTTTCCTTTGGTGCTTGCTGATATGTTGTTTGTGGTAAAGATTTTTTGAGTATGCTGCTATATGATGGTTGTGCATTACTTTCTACGATTTTGCTCGAATTAAGTGTATCTACTTGTTGGTTATTTGTTTTATCCATTTCTATTGTGATACCTAGTTAATGAGTGTTGGGTTGGTGTATTTGCATAGCGGTATTTATGGGAAAGTTGTCTTGAGATACTGTGGAAACTTCTGGTGTGTTGGTGAGTTGGCTATAGTGTTGGGTGCTATGTTTTCTTCTTTTATGATGGTTGTCTTCCTGCTTTTCGTCGTTATCCGCCTTTGCTAGTGGAGTTGTACACATCTTTTGCACCTCTAGAGTATGCTCTCTAGGGTAGTATGTTCGTAACGTTGCTTGAGTTGTATTACTTTTTGTTGAAGTTTCTCCTTTTCTTTTAATGTTTACTTGGGTTTGAAGTGTCTTGGAGTATTTTATTTGTATTGAAATATTTAGTAGTTTGGTATTTTATTGTGACCTTTCTTTACTCTTTTCCGTTATTTTGTTGTTTTGATAGATTTTAATGATGTACAGGAAAGAGTTTTTTTCTGAATTTTAATAATTACTAGTTATTTTTATTGTTATAATTTTCATTTTTAAATTATACTATGAATGGATCAGCCCCATTCCATTCGATCTTTTAAAGTTTCTATACAACAGTTAAGCAAGTCAAAAATTTACACTCACCTTTAATTTTAACTAGTGTCATGGTGATTTACAGTATGCGATGAACTTGTATGGGAATGAAGGTAAAATGAACGAGCGATCATTATCTTGTGCACGTGATGCATGTGATAAGTACGTGATCGATCGGGAATAAGAGATCGAGTAATGATCAAT